GGGAAAGTGGTGAAGACTACATGTATTGAACTTTTAGTTGTTATTAAATAAACTCATACTTCTGTGTTTATTTGAGCAGACACTTAATTTTTTAAATTTCAAATAAAAAAAACAAGAAGAAAGGCCTGGTTATTCTGTTCTTTCTTGTGGGTACATCCTCAACAGTTTGCTTAGTAGTTTGCTCATATTATTAATGAAAAGAGTCAAACCTGACTGTGTAGCACTTTCTAATTACTACAGCATTCTCCTTTTGAGGAGCTCAAAGCTTAAATGAACTACCTGACTTCTAGCCACCCTTTAATTTAAACACTTTTCATGGCTGTACACAGTGGAGCACATTGTTGCCAGGAGGCAGTCTTGTATAATGGACACACAAGAACACCAGTGTCCCTTCAATAGTCAAAGGTGTCATTTGTCACAATGCTGTCATTCTCATGTACAACAGCCTTGCCTTTGCCAGTTCAGCTCTTACTGTTTGCCTGATTAATTTTATATCACGCAGCTATTTTCTTCCTTAAGGATAGTTTACTGGGCTGGGTTTTTTAATGTGTAAGACAGTCAGACCATTTATTATATTAAGCCTGGGTGTTAACCTCCCTCAGCACCGAGCTCTGTGGGGAGAGTCTCTGTGCTTTCCTCAGGACCTGACATGGTGTCTGGCCTGGAATACTAATATTAGGCTCTCCCTGTGTGTTTTTAGTAATAGTGTGCCTATCCCCCAAATCATGTGACCTTCCTACTTGAAAAAGAAGAAATTGACAAATTAATCAAGAAGCTTCTTTTTTATGTGTGCAAACACTGTTTTCCTTGTGGGAGATGTGAGGTCACACAGGCTCACTAACCGGAAGCCCACCGTGCAAACAGCAGCCATAAGGCCTTGCTCGGAGGAGAGGTGAACTCTGTTCTCCTTGGGGAATTTCCACTCTAGGCTTCTAATTAATTGCTAAGTGATCGTCTGAGTTCATGCTGTGTGGGTGGGGACACTTTGTTGGTCAAATATCATGACACATTCTAATTTCATATTCAGAGCAGAGAAGGTCGATATTCTGAATGCTCAGAAACTGCTTCTCATTCCCTCACTTAAATAACATGGAAAGTTGTGGGGGTTTATCTAAGTAGAGCTGTTTTAAAAACAGCACTCACGACTACATCACAATAACCTGGCACTTTCCTGCAACTCTAAGAAGCAAGTCAGTTTTCTTTTCTACCTCTGTGCATGCTGTCAAAACAGATGGCCCCTTTCCTCATCAGGCCTGTACAGTGCCCTTTGCACTTCATGTTACTGCCATTGGCGTGCTAGCTAAACCCAGGGTTTTCTAACACACAGCATGTGCCCGCTGGGTTCTTATCCACCTGCACATTGCCATAGTGTCTAGCACATCGTGAGACTGAGCAAAACAGTACTTTTTGTTTGGGACAAGCTGTCACCAGAAAAGCAAAGCTTGTTTGGTTGAGTCTCAGCAACATTTTATTCTGTTGTCCTTTCTTTAATTGTATTTTAAAATGTATCCTAGTGCTCAATTTAAAAAATATTGTCCCTGCTTTCCTGTGTCCTATGTAAAGTACGGGATGCCCAGTCAGAGAGCATCTGCTCATAACAGGTTCACATGTCTCTAGTTATCAGCTTGCTGAAGGCTAAGGCTACTTGTCTGTGCATCTTAAGTCTTATACATGGTTCAGTTTTCCTTTGATTATTGATTCATTCACCATTCAGCCCTAAAAATCTAGTGGTCAAACTAGACATTGTGGTCTCCCTGGCCTTGCCAATATGTTATATCCTGCTATTCTTTTCCAGTCAGCAAAAAGCACATTTGCCAGCTGCTTGCCACCACGTTCAGGGTCAGGCATTTCCTGCCTATTTCCAAATCAGAGTCTACCTGAGCTAGCCCTTGACTTTTTCTACCTCTGTCAGTGTTTAACCAGCTAAGAGCTTCACAAAATGAGGAGCGCAACCAAACACACTTATAAATACTTTTAAACTGGTTCTCTTTGCAGTATAAAACCCTTTCATACAATCACCTTGTATGAATTTGCTATAGGTAATTAACCAACAGCAGTAAATAGTGATCAAACTTTTGGTAGTTTTGTGGTCCTCTTTCTGGGATTATCAACATGTTGTACTTAAAGGGCTCAGTGCTGGACATGTATCTACTAGTCCTCCACATCAGAGAATCCCAGGAAATCTGTGTTAAGGAATGAATGAATATTTGTAGCCATTTCCTTTGAATGAAATATGTCAGCTCACTTGATAGCAAAAGATGCTTGTTAAATGTAGTGATTTGCTCTCTGGAAAGAGGAAGCCTGTGCTTCTTTTTTTTCAGCATTTTTTTTCTTTTATTGAAAATTGATTCTTTTCTCATGCAGTGATTTTAGTTTTTCCTCCTTCTACTCCTCCAAGTTCCTTCCCACCTTGCCTCCCCTCTGGATCTACTCCCTTCCTGTCTCTCATTAGAAAAGAATGGGCCTCTAAGAGATAACAGCCAAGCATAACAAAATACAATACAGTAAGATGAAACAAACACTAATGTATCAAAGTTGGGCAGTGCAACCCAACGGGAGGAAAATGAGTCCCAAGAGCAGGCGAAAGAGTCAGAGAATTTTTAACCTTTCTTTTAACCTACACAGACCTCTCACTGTGTAGACCTGTCACCGTCCTTCTGCTTTAGCTGCCTGGGTTCTGGAATTGCAGGCATGCCTCATCCTAAGCAGCACTGATTTTGTAATTGCTATTCCTGTAACATATGCATTGCTTTGAGGGGTTAATATTTTGCCTTAATAAGACCCAACTGAGGCCGGTTGCCCTGTGCAGAGGTGATCAACGTGAGCCTGTCACTTCTGCCTTCAGTGGCCTGACGCATTGCTTAAGCAGAAGAACTGTTTCTGTCCATCCTAGGCTATCTGTTCCTTCTATGTCCCAGCATGCTCCTTAGCCTCTGAAGCAGGTATCTGTTGTTTTGTGAAGAGAAGCCGTTTTATTTTTTTTCTAGTCATAAAGATAAATACTCCAAGAGTTATAAAATACTCTTCCCCAGGGTTAAGTCTTCTTTTGCTATCCATGCAAAACCTGCAGTCAGGCTAACAAGAGCCTGATTTCTCTGCTGGTGCTCTTACTGTTGGCTGTCACAGCTGCATCTTTAGAATTGTGTTGACTAATCCAGTGCTGGTCTCACACTGGGCTTGTGTTTTTAGTTATTGATTGTGCATGTTAGGTAGGTCTAGAGAGACATGAACATAAACGAGCTGGTCTCCTACAGACTGCCCTAGACCCCCAACAGTAACCATATTTTTGAGTGGTGTGCATTCACGTGCCCCGCTCTGACACCTGGGGTGGTACACAGGGAGCTGGCTAGAGAAGGCCCAGCTCTGCATGCCCAGCTGCCGCAGGGGACCTCGGGACCTCGGGAGCACGGCTTTACTTTGCCTGGATGGTATTATTTTGTTCGACAAGTTACTGTATTTCACTTTCATAGGTCCCTTGTGTTCTTCTGTCCTGCTTCCCTCAGAGTTAACCTGTAATCACAACACTCAGTTCAAGATCATTCTTAACTACATAGTGAGTTCAGGACCAGCTTGAACTGCACAAACTCCTATCTCCAAACAACCAGAAAATATTGATTACAGTTCATGGTGTGTGCATATCCAAGCTATGGAGGACAGTCTGAGAGAATACTTCAGCCTTTGTAGTTAATTCTAGAAGAAAGTCTAGAATATTCCACTCTAGAAGAGGCCTGTCATTTTAGAGTTACAGGAAAACAACACTGTGGTTTTGAGTTTCTCTTACACCCTGGCAGTCTCTTAAGGAACACAGATGTGCATGCATGGTCACTATTAATCCTCATTGCAGTCTGGCAAAGAGGTGCAAAATCTACACTCACTCGACACGTGGGAAGGCCTTCTTAGCAAAGTTACAACTAGAAGGTAGCTGGTTCAGAAAACTGTGACCACATACTCTGCACCTCTAATCTGGGTGCTGCTGTTGACTGAAGCTATACTCATTAATTCAGGACCCATAGTCTGATAGCTTTATTTTGTCCAATCTTGCTTTATAGAATCGGGTCTAATTATTTTTGTGACAAGCTTTTTTTGTGTATAGTGGGGGTATTTGGGCACATGGGGGGCATACACCTATGTCCTGTTCTGTCACTCTTTGCCTTACTTGCTTAAGGCAGATGATCACTGAACTTGGAGCTAGGTCGGCATCCAGGAAGCCCCAGTGATCCTCATGTCTCCACTCCAACCTCTACAGAACTGAGGTCAAAGGCACAAATAGCGTTGCCCACCCAGGGTTTTATATGCATGTTTGAGTTTCAAGCCCAGAGCTTCATGCTTGCACATCCAGCCCTCTTACCCACTGAGTGATCTCCAAGACCTTAAGGTTTTCTTCTCTGAAAGTCATTCATGGACTGGAGAGATGGCTCAGCAGTATAGGGCACTTATTGCTCTTACAGAAGACCCTGTTTTGCTTCCTAGCACCATGCCATATGGTTCACATCTGCCTGTAACTAGTTCCAGTGGATCTGATGCCCTCCAGTCCTGTAGTCTCAGCAGGCACCTGCACATTCATGGCACATATAAACACACATATGCACAGGAAAAATAGTGGTCCCTTAGAATCAAAAGTTCATTCTGTCTAATGCTGTGATAGATGTCTAACATGCGTCTTACAGACTTCAACAGCCTCCTCTTGTCCTCTGCACTTTGCCTGTGAACTAGAAGGACAGTTTTACGTTTGGAATTTCAGACCAACTGATAGTAAATTCAGAGCAAAGAGTGATAGGAATGAAAAAGAGTGAAAGAAAATTTCTCATTTAAGCTGTTTTGGTTTTAACCTCTCTGGAAATAGTCCTTTCACCATTTTGATCTCAAAAGGAAATGGACAGTGATGGTGTTATTTTCAGTTTCACCTCAGACCACTCTGGCAGTTGCATGCTGATGCTGCAGGGGAGAGCGCTGGCTGAGGATTTCACTGAGTGTCTTTCCCTCCCCCATCTTGATTTCAGGTGTCAGAAACTATTTAAAAGAAGCATTGGTGAATATAATTGCTGTGCATGCAGAGGTAAGCTGTCATTAACTGCTCCTACAAAAGTAGGTGATTGGGGGGAGGAAAAGAAGCAAATTTGATTATTATTCACGAGAGGGGTCTCTTTTTCCCCTTCAGAATGGCTCTTGTGCATATAAGTAAAGTAGAGCTCAGCTCTCTTGTGTGTATGTGTCTGTGTGTGTGTGCATGGATGTCTGCATGTGTGTCTGTGCATGGATGTGTGAGCATGCCTATATGTGTGCATGTTTATATGTAAGTGCATCTGTGTCAGTGTTCATGTGTGTCTATGTGCTTGTGTTTGTGTCCGTATATGTATGCATCTTTGTGTGTACCTATGTATTGGTGTGTGTGTGTGTGTGTGTGTGAGAGAGAGAGAGAGAGAGAGAGAGAGAGAGAGAGAGAGAGAGAGAGAGAGAGAGAGAGAGAGAGAGAGAGAGAGACTTAGTCTTTTCCTGAAATTGTGCATGTCTTCTGGGATCCTTAACAACAAAGTTAGTAAATCAGTTGTGTTGCTTAGGGGTATGTAGATGTTGCCCATGGTTCACACAAGCTGTCACCACAGTTACACATCTGAAATTTCATGCTGGCTGGCATCCTTAGTAGACACCCTGGGAGTGAGAGCCACTCTTCTGAAGCACACTGGAAAACAAGATCCCATCATTGGTGCCAGAACCATCGATGCTGTTGCATTTTCACGCAGAGATCTCAGTCAGTTGTGGGCTGCTCCATGGCCAGCACTCTAAGGGTGGCTTACAGCATGGTGGGAAGCCAAAGAATAAAGCAAGGCCAAGGCAGTTAGCACTGGAGCTCAGGTGGCTCCTACTCTTCCTGCTGACATCCAGGTGGTTGCTTATGTGGCTTTCTCCATTAGAAGGCTTGGAGGCTGACATGATATGTGGAAAAATATGGATAAGGACAGCAAAAGCAGAAGAGTGGAGCAACCAGAGAAAGTGGGTAATGCTGCCTCCTGACTTTTCACTTCTCAGGAAAGATGCTTGCGAGCATCTCTCTAGAAAGAAAGATCCTATGTGATTTAACTCTGGCAGGGGTTGGTCTCATAGATCTCTGTAATTTTATTAAACATAAGAGATAATTCTTGTGTTAGTTTCTTTTAACATTAAATGATTAGTAGGTAGGAACATCGTGTGTGCAGAGTGCAGAGGAAGTACAGACATAGGACTGTAAGGGTCACTCTGGACCCATCTTGAAGGTTGGCTATTAGCCATTATCAATAGCAGTGAGGTTATTTAAGTATCAGCCTTTCAAATCCCCTTTAGTTTAGCCCAGTAACCCAAAGTAGAAGATCACCAGGGCTACCGTTTGTAATAAAATCTTAAAGTGTCAAAATTTGTGTTGAATGCTCAAATTGTTTGCGTTGGCATGATGTTTAATTAACACTAGCACTTCAAACTGGGAACAGGCAAAGCTAAAAAGAAAACATACTTTAATTGGTGAATTATTAAACCCCCAGATATAACTTTGTCAAATATTAAAATTTGAAATAAGGCCACCAAGATGGCTCAGCATATAAAAGCACTTACTGCCAAGCCTGATGAGCTGAGTTTGGTCCCCAAAACCCCTCTCATAGAAGAGAGAACCAATTCCCATAAGTTGTCCCCTGACCTCCACATGTATGCCAAGGAGTGTGTGTGTGTGTGTGTGTGTGTGTGTGTGTGTGTGTGTGTGTGTTGTTAAATAAAATTTAACAAGTTGTATGTCAGTAATGTATAGCTCACAAAAAAGTGGAATGTTTATCAATACAGATAATGGAACTTGTATTTATTTATAAAACACAGTGTCTTATAAATTTGGCAAAGCCATACTCAAGCTCCTGGCTTGAAGCTCTTCCTGCTCAGTGTTTGAGCAGCCAGGATAGCAGATGCACACCACTACGCCAACACCCAGCTTACTTAATCTTTTTTAAGTAGTGCAAATGTTTCTTATAAATGGGAAACTAAAAAGATAAAATTTGAAACAATTTTTAGTCATCACCTACAATACCTGTTTTTAAAAGTTGTTTTTGTCATTAATCAGTAAATGTTATTAAAGAAGACATCTGGGGACTGGACAGATGGCTCAGTAGTTAAGAGCACTTGCTGCTCTTGTAGAAGACCTAGGTTTGGTTCCAGCACCACATGGTGGCTCACAACCATTGGTAACTACAGTTTCAGGAGATCTGATGCCCTCTTCTGAGCTCCACAGGCACCAGGCATACATTTGATACACATACGTATGTGCCAGCAAAACACTCACACATATACAATAAAATAAATATTTTTTAAATTAATTTATTTTTTACATTCCAATCCCAGTTCCCCCTACCCCCTCCACACCTCCCATCTGCTCCTCGGAGAGGGTAAAGCCTTCCCTAGGAAGTCTACTAATCTGCCCCATCATCTTGTTGAGACAGAACCAAGGCACCTCTCCACACCCATCCCCCCATACCTTTGTATCTCTCCATATAGAATGAGTTCCACTAAGTCAATTTGTGCATTGGAGTTAGATCTTAGACCCACTGCCAGTGGCCTCATAATATTGTCCCAGCGGTACCATTGTCATCTACATTAAGGGAATCAGTGATCTCTCACTAGCTTGGGTCAACTGATTCTGTGGGCTTCCTCATCATGGTCTTGACTCTTTTGTTCATATTAAAATAAATCTTAAGAGTTTATGTATCTTCTGTTCAGAACTTTGATCTTTTAAAATTTGCTGTTGTTTTGTTTGTTACTTTGCTTTGATGGACAGGAGCCTGGAAAAGTATCCATAATGTGCTGTTTCTTCTTACTCTAATCCTCCCACCAGGTGTTCACTGTTTCCAAAGAGCTGGTGCCACGGGTCCTGGCCAGGGTGGTAGAAGCAGTTTCTGAAGAGCTGAGCCGGCTGATGCAATGTGTCTCATCCTTCAGCAGAAATGGAGCACTGCAGGTACCCAGTGCGACACGAATAATAAAAACCCAGAGATGGATACTGAGGTTCAAGCTGAAGAGCAGAAAAGCAAAGCAGCCAACCACTAGAGAGTTCTTACCTCTACTAAGGATGGGACAATCCTGTCGTCAGTGTGACGCAGACTGAATATGAACTGAGCTCCTGTCTCGTCCCATCTTATATTCCTCTCTAGTGCTAGGATTAAAGGCCTATACCACCACCACTCAGCCTCTATGGCTTACTAGTGTGACTGCTGGGAATAGAGGGGAATAAAGGTGTAGGCTCCAGCCTGTATGGCTGACTAGTGTGATTAGCTTTGAATGCTCATCTTCAGGCAAACTTACAGACATTATAGACAAAGGTGGTATTTTCAGTGCCCCAGCCAGTTTCACAAATACACACACACACACACACACACACACACACACACACACACACACACACACGTTGACTGCAGTTCCCAGATGTTCTGTTTCAGTCATTAAAACAGAACAAACCCTTTCAGAGTTTTATAAAACTATTTGAACACAGACCCACAAAGTCCTTCCATGTCTTTCCAAAGCATTCAGTGCTGTGTAGTTCAAAGGTGTAAATAGTTGTCTCCTCCTCAGTAAGGTAACTCATGATGCAGATGCATATGTAGAGGGGACAGTGACCTCCTGCTTGTGAGCTTTCTGTATACTGAGACAGTGGGTGTACATTTGAAGAAGCAGTGGTGGGCTGGGAGTATAGCTTAGTGATATAAGGTATGCTTGCTTGTATGGGACCCTGAAGGTTCACTCCTCAGCAAAACATACATGCATGTACATACATACACACACACACACAAACTAAAAAAATACAGTGGCAGCTCTTTAGCGGATAGCTGAGGAAGCTGTCTGAGGCCTGCTTGCTGCAGTTACCACTTGCAAACTTAACATCTATAATTAAATAAACATCACGATTAATGATATTAAAGAACACACTGGCATTGAGGGAATAGACTTAGAAGAAATGGAACTTCAGTAAATTTCCCATTTTTTTCTGGATTTTCTGAGCGTTGTCCCACTTCTGTAAAAGGAAGCCTTCCCACCAGCCTGGTTCCAGAGCCGCATCAGTCCCAAATAAACATACAGGAGGCTATATTAATTATAAGGCTGTTGCCAGGCGGTGGTGGCACACACCTTTAATACCAGCACTCGGGAGGCAGAGGCAGGTGGATCTCTGTGAGTTCGAGGCCTGGCTAGACCGATAGCCTCCAGAACAATACAGAGAAACCTTGTCTTGTAAAAACCAAAAAAAAAAAAAAATATATATATATATATATATATATATATATATATATATATATATATATATGAAGCTGTTGGCCTTGCTTGTTTCTTACTGGCTAGCTCTGACTTAAGTATTTATCCCATAATTGTTAATCTAAGTATTTCTCTTACCGGAGAACTTTCCGGGCTTCCTACCCCATGGCGGTTACATCTCGACTCTCTATGTTTCTCCTACCCAGAGTTCTCCTGGACTCCTAGTCCCACCTATCTTGGTTCCCTTTTGGCCAACAGTGCTTTATTGACAAATATACAGGACTTCCCCCATCATGATCTTTGAAAGGTTTGAAGACTATCTCATTATCTCAAATATATCTCTGTATATTTAGAAAATCTAACTTACCTAACTATAAGTTCTAACTGTTATAAGTAACTATCTATAGTCTATATTTAATTATGCATTACGTTTTAAAAGATCAGTGTAAGCACAATACTTAATCAAGAGGAGAAATATAAACATCACAAAATTGACCTTGAATTTGTATCAATAAGTGAAAAAACAATACCCATACCATACACTTCAATACAAATCTTCCCTTCTTTGTGGTTTAGATTTTGGAACAGCCCCAAAGATAGACAGGTGTCCCAGAGAGCAGCCTCACAGCTCTCTGTGTACTGCCCACATTCCTGACTGGTCCATGAAACATGTATGCTTAGTCAGATTCCACTCTGACCAACCTGCCTCAGACAAGGGAACTTGAGGTAAAAGTGGATCTACTGCTGGGCATAGTGGTCCACACCTGTAATCCCAGCTTCTTAAGAGGCCACGACAGGAAAATGGCAAAGCAGGATTCGTGTGGTCTGTATAGTGAGTTCAAGACCAGCCTGGCAATTCAGCAAGACTGTCTCAAGAAAAAGAGAATAAAGGTTGGTATATAGTTCAGTGAGAGTGACGGTACGGTGCACATCTCCTCATTGGATCACCACTGTGTTCCAAAGCAGTGACACTGCTGTCCACCTACAGCCGTTAAGGAGGCCTTTTGTTACCCCCTTTCCTTATCAACACTTGTTAGCAAACTGCCCTATGGACCTTGGCCATTGCCCTGGCTATGAAGGGGTGTCTTGTTCTGTGAGGTGTGGTCTCACTTTCCCCATGACATCTGTTATTGAATGATTTTGCTTCATTGTGATGACATCAGCTGATTTCCCCATGGATCATTGCACTTTTTGCATTTTCCTAGAAGACTTGCCGAAGTCACAAAAACTTACTGCCGTTTCTTCTAAGAGTTTATAGTCCATTTTTGTTTTTACATTTAGGTCTGCCTGTGGTCTGTTTTGAGTTATGTTAAGAGAGGTTTGGGCTTCCTTCTTTTGTGTGTGGATCCAGTTGTGCTGTTTCTGTTCATTGAATTGATGTTTTCCCCACTGAATGGCTTGTGGCCCTTGTTGAAGTCAGTTAGCTCTCGTTCTGCATCACCGAGCTCCGTGCCTGTTCACGCGTGGAGCCACACTGACATGCTTTAGCATGGCTTGCTGCATGAGTGTTTGAAATCAGACATGTGAGGCTTCCAAATCTATTGTTCTTTCCCAACATCATTTTAGCTTTTCTGGGGCCTTTATATTTCCACATGTATTTTAGATTAACTTGTCATCTTGCTTTTTTTTTCTTAAAAGCTTATCCATGAATTTAACAGAGATTGCACTGACTTTGTAGAGCTTGGTTTTACTGGAGAAGAGACTGTACCTCAAAGGATGTAGTTGCCAGGAAGCAAGCCCAGCCACTCAGGCTATTGTTTCAGTTTCTCCCCAACCCCCACTCCTCACCACCACCACCACACACACACACACACACACACACACACACACACACACACACACACACACACACACAGACAGATACTAAAAGACAAATACTAGTTAGGTAGTACTTCCCATGTAATATGTCCATCCCCTGCCTATACAGTCATATTTGACAGTGGGGTTAAAGGACATACTGGTATGTTAGTAGTGTTCTTTGAGAGTCTTTTCACAGCAAATTGTCACCATGTTGATGTTGTGGCCAGCCTGGCCTGCAGTAAGCAGCCTTCACACAGTATTCTTAACACTTGCTATCATTTGGTAACTGACACTTGTCACTGTTGCCTTTTTCCCATCTTCAGGCAAGACTTGAAATCTGTGCTCTGAGAGACACCGTAGCCATTTACCTGACCCCGGAAAGCAGGTAAGATGCTGAGTGTTGTTGCTTAGTTCTTTTTATACCAAAATTGCTTTACTCATGCATTATGTCCTTTGTACAAGATAACTTACCAAAGTAAGATGCTTATAAATTTGTGTTGTGATAAATTCGATATTTCATCAGAAATTTTCAGTAAAAGCACAAGCCTACAACAAGACAATGACTTTCAAGGCCACTTCTTTAGAGCATATTATACATTTAATGTAATTTTTCTTTCATTACTTATAGATCTTAGTCTCTTAAATAATATGGCCAAGTATGACATACTACTTTAAAAGGAAAGACCAAAAAAAATTAAATCTTCATCAGACTTGGACAGTTTGAGTGTTGTAAATATCAGCGTAAGAGGAAGCCTGTGGTTTCTTTGCAAAGTTTTGTAGTGGAAATTTGATGGTAACTTTTAGCTGTTTTGAATGAAAGTCAGGATTTCCTACTATTGAGACATCAGTAGATGAAATGAGCAGACCTATATGCACATAACTGTTTGCCACAGTCACAGCATTGCCTGGGACGTCAGTCTATGCGAGCATAAGGACACTGCGAGACTCTGTTCCTTCATCTCTAGTCTTTGATAGCATGGCTGTGCCATCACCCTCACTGTCACCACTACACCAGAAAATGTCCATTATTTTCTTAACAGGTAAAATTATCATCTTCCTGCTTGCCATACTATACCACAAACCATTTCTAGGTTGTTCATGTTTGTTGTTTAAACCCACCTTTTCCAAACCACTCCTTTTTCTGCCTAATGTGGTACAGACAATAGGAAGAATCCAGTCCATGTTGCTTAATATGAGTGTCGTTTATTGTCCTGCATGTAACGTTTTAGAACTTAGGTTCAAGATAATACAGATTGAGTATCCTGTATCCAAAATAGTTAGGAAGAAAAGTATATTCAGTTTTAGATTGCGGGTGTGCATTGGAATATTTGTGATATAGTTTTCTTGGAGATAGAACTCAGGTCTAAACAAGGAATTTATTTAAGTTTCATTACATTCATACAGGTGACTAAAGGTAATTTAATACAGTTTCTTAATCATTTAATGATTGAGGGCCTGGAGAGATGTCTCAGTGGTTAAGAGCACTGGCGGATGTGTCAGAGGACCTCGGCTTAAGTCCTGGTACTTACATGATGGTTCAAACTATCTGCAACTCAGTCCCAGAGGACCTAGTACTCTCTCCTGCCCTCCACACCCTCAGTCACTCACATGGTGCACAGTCATACAGGCAGACAAAGTACCCAAGCACATAAAATAGGATGAAAAATAAAAATTAGTGTTTGATGTGGAACTTCCCATCCTATTGGTACTCAAAACCTTTTAAATCTTGAACCACGTTTGATTTCAGATTAGAGATGCTCAACCTGTGAACTCCTAGACAGAATTGTGAGGTTCATAACATGTGTCAGGTCACCTTCTAAGCTGTCAGTGTCTTACAAATAATAGAATGTCCCTCATTTTCATCACCATCATTCTGTCTAGACAACAAAGAACATGAAACAACGTGTTGGTTTCAGTTAATCCAGCCTATGGAGAGTGAGATGTGGTGGAGGTGAAAGGAAGGACTTCCCTCTCACTCAGGAAAGAGGAGAGCCCTGAACATGGAAAGACATCCTCATAGGCCAGCAGACTCGGTCCCCATCCACACCCTGTCTCACCTAGGGAGAATGAGCATTCCCAGAGGTGGTTTTTAGTTAAGTGGGGACTTAAGTTCTGTCTACATGCCTTCAGTTTAAGATGCATTGTTCAGACGTTCATGTCCTGGTGGATTGAAGAGTATAGTTTTAATACAAGAAGAAGGCCTCCTTAATCAGTAGTGATTACACGTATTTCTTCAACTCCACTAGAAAAGTAGAGGATGTGAAAAGTTCAAAACTCTCCTCAGGAACAGTAGTTAATTGTTAACTAAGTTCTCCAGTGTGATCCTCACTCCGCTCAGTAATCCTTCTACTCTCTACTTAAAAAAAACTGACATACTAAATACGTAGTTTTTCAATTCATTCATTTTACCTTTCTCATGTAAAGATGCGTTATTCAAAATTACACATAAATATCTTCCTTTCCTGTCCATGTTAATTCACATAAGAGCTAGAAACTGTCCCCATGTCCACTTTGAGAAGGCATGGCTGTCCAGCAGGCCCTGTCCTTGTCAACGCTGCAACTGTCCTGAGTACTGTTCTACACACATCCCGTCTCTACTCACCGCCCTCCTGCTTTCACAGTTGCTCTAGCTATAGTCTTTTTAAGTCCTCCCCTCGAATGCCCCACACCCCCCATCCCAGTTTCTGCACAGTCACACCGGCCTCCCTGCCCTCATAAGCAGCCTCTCTTTGTCTGGTTCGGGCTCCACTTCCTGGCTGCCTCTCTTTGTCTCTGAAGCCCTGCCAATCTGCTCGGTAGCCTTACTTTTCCTTTTTCTTTTTCTGTTGTTTTTCACTTTTACTTTTCCTCACACGTCTCCACTTACTTCACTGGCCTTCATTGGTTTCTTTGTATTTAAATGTGCTGAAGAATGTTTACAGTGATCCCCTAATGAATTCTGCTCCCAACTCTGAACTGTCTGAGCTCATGTGCTCTTTGTGTTTCAGGTCTAGTTTTAAACAAGCCCTGGAAGCCCTGCCTCAGCTTGCGAGTGGTGCGGACAAAAAGTAAGTTCTGAGAGCTCTCCTCAGCCCACTGACTGAGCCGCATGAGCTCTGGTAAGCAGAGACCAGCTGAAGAGTCTGAGAATGCCTCAGGCGGAAGGAGAGTGTAGGTTACCCTGGAATGTGGTGTGCTGGGTTACCTGTGTCTCCTTAGCTTCCAAGTGACAGGATGAATCTGTCTGTAGGTTTGACTTACAGCTGTTAAAAAGTGACAAGTACAGAGAATCTAGGAAAGGCATTTATTTGACTTAGTGCCTGCAGCTCTGGCTTCTGTATTAAGAGGAGGGGTCAGGACTGTCCACTGCTTTTGACTTCTTTAAAACAGAGTATTAGACAAGTTGCATACATAGCGCAGAACAGCTGTGTCATTACCATGTTAATGAGCTCGGCCTCTGTTTAAACTTTACTCCTCATATAACAGGAAATTGTGGCCTGAGGGGAAGTTTAGGCCAGGCATCTTTTGTAAATGCCCAGTCTAGCCTCAGCCTAAGCGGTGGAGACCCTGTAGCTCTTTGCGTTGTCATCATCCTGGTTAAAGTTCACCTGCCTTTGCTTGGGGAAAGCACACAGTGCTGGGCTCTGTGGACAAGTCAGGAATGCTGGACAAAGTACCTGGACCAACTATAGTCATGAAGAGTGACTAGGCTTTGGAGAAATGGGGCAACCCAGCTTCCCCGATTGTGTGTCCCCAGGGCAGACCCCTGTGTGTGTCCACACAGGCAGGCAAGCAGCAGAGCAGTGCCCCACAACACCGAACACCCTACTTACATTCCCTACTTTGTGTTTTCATTTGGAATTCATTCCAAGCCCTTTTCATTTCTTTAAAATAAAAGATAAAAATAGTAACCCCTATTCTTAATACATGGAACATGTTTCAAAGGATTATCTGAGCATCAAGTGTATGTGAGCATCAAGAACAGCCAATGACTGACTGTTTGAGCTGGTATGCTGTTGTGTTCCAGGTATGTTTGTGTGTCTGTAGTGTCCACTCAGGGGCAAGCAGATTGGAAGGTCTAGGTCTGGATGGCCTGTCACTTAAATACCTACCGTGGAAGTCTGCTGGCCTCAGCCCTGTCCACAGCCAGCATGGAGAGGGAAGAATCAGCTCCACGGTTCTCCTCCCATTGCATGTGTATTCATGTGCCCACCCCTCACATATCATGCACAGGTTCTCCTCAAAATAATTGTCGGTAGATGTGTTTAGTTACATTTCTAGAGCAATCTGGGTTATAAACTGAGAGTCTGTCTCAAAATTCCAAAAAAAAAACAAAAAAACAAAAAAACAAAACGCAGACCCAGAAACCCAGTGTGTCTTAGACCAGGACCGATATTATATTGTGGGGATGATGTTCCAGTATTGGTCATCGTTCATTCGTGATAGACTCCATTGAGCTTCATGGTCTCAAGCGCATTTTAGGGTTCCATCCTGTACTAGATGAGCTCTGAGAGTCCTTCTGACTCATACATACTAAAGTATTTCAGACAAGGGAAATGAACATGTCAGTCACAATGATTTCCTAGTGGAGTTAGAACTGACTTGGGCCCTTCCATGCTCAAGTCACCACATCTGGTCACCACTCTGCAGACAAGATGGAAGATTAGAGAAACAACAATAACCGAACTGTGTAGAGACTCTGGAGTAGATTTAAAGGAAATGGCTGACACCAGAGGGAAAGCATAAAAAGTAGGGTTACAGTCAGTGAGGTGGCTCAGTTAGGTAAAAGCAATTGGCATTGGATGGTGCAAGCCTCTCATAAAGGTAGAGAACTAACTCCACGGAGTTGATCTCTGACCTCCACATGTATGCTATGGCATGCAGGCCAACGTCCCCCCAACACACAATAATGATAATAAATAAAATGAAAAGAAAAATTTAATGAGTGAGAGAAATTCCTGTCTCCTGGAGCTGTTCTTACTTTATGTACTTGCTGCAGTCATAGAACTAAAAAACAAAAAGATTGAGTTTTAGTCTTTCTTGATTGTTGGGGTAATTATTAAAAGAGTAGGCCTAAGCATTATCCTGTTGTAGGAAGGACTCTAGAGAAGGCATATAAAGACAATGACTAAAGAAATACATAGACTTGTATATAACTGTAGCCTTTGAGATGCCTTTCTTTTTTATTTCTATTACTGATTAAGATCCCATCAACAGTGGCTTTTTTGACTTGCCTCCAAACGCAGCCTGGCAGTCAAACCAGCTCTCTGCGTGTTTGCTGAGTTGCTAAACTAGTGTAATGGCTATTATTGGTTGTCAACTTGACATCTGGGAAAGGGAAACCTCTGCTGAGGAATTGCCTCCATCACATTGGCCTGAAGCAGGTCTGAAGGGCTTTTTCTTTTTTTGGTTGCTAACTGATATCCACTGTACTCTGTACCATCCGAGGCAGGTGGGCCTAGACTGTGTAAGAAAGGTAGCTTGCTGTGAGCCTGAAGGCAAGCCAATAAACAGCATCCCTCTGTGATTCCTGCCTTGAGTTTCTGCCTTGGCTTCCCCAGATGATGTAACCTGTAATCCAAATAAATCTCTCCAAATTGCTTTTGGTCATGGTATTGTATCACAGCATCAGAAAACAAACTAGGACAACCGCTTCATCTTAGCTAGAGTTACTATTGCTGTAATGAAACACCATGACTATGAGCAGCTGGGGGAGGGGGGAATATTTGTCTTATGACCTTACATCATTGAAATCAGGGCAGGAGCTCATGTGGGGTAGGAACCTGGAGGCAGGAGCTGATGCAGAAGCCATGGAGAAGTGCTGCTTACTGGCTCTCTCAACATGGTTTGCTGAACCTTCTTTCTTGTAGAATCCAGGACCACCAGCCCAGGGATGGTACCACTCACAGTAGGCTAGGCCCTCCTCTGTCAAATAGTAATTCAGAAAATGCCTTACAAGTTGCCTATTTATAATAGCATTTTCGCATTAAGGCTCCCTTCTCTAGTGACTATAGTTTGTGTCAAGTTGGCATACAACTAGTTAGCACAGACCGTTACTGTCAGAATGCTAAAGTATCTCCTCCCTTCAGGTTACTAGAAGAGCTACTCAACAAGTTCAAGAGCAGTATGCACCTGCAGCTCACCTGTTTCCAAGCTCCATCTCCAACCATGATGAAAACTTAGCCGCCTGTGGAGGAAGAGCATCCAGAGATAGCAGGTGTGAGATGGCCCTCTTCCTATGCCAGAGGTCTATCCCATGTCCAAGCACTGTATTCAACTTCTGTCTTTTCCCCAGCATGGCGGCACAAAAAGATGTTGGTGGGTGATTAATGTCAGCCTATTTAAACAACCCTATTTTAAATGTACACGTAAACAACTCTTGTTGTTATTAGCTTTGGTCCTGAAAGGCTACCTTGCATACGCTTCAAAAATGTTTTTTCTTCACTAAATGTTGCATGGTGTGACCTTCAGGGGGCTTCTCCTGAGTGTTCTGGAGTGGCCCACGGTGTGTGTGAATGTGCTTCTCAGCACTCCTGACTGCCTCAGTGGGGCAATCTCCATCCAACCCAATGAGGCATTTGAGGACAGATGTAAAGTCACGGCTTTGGAGCTGTGTCCTAACCCTAAAAATCATCACTTATACAAATGGTTCTAAAGCTCCTAATTTTTTAAAGAAAAATATACAGTCTGCATATAAAAAAGTTCAGCTTTGGATAATTTATGACACAAATGGCCATAAGTGAACTCTGAATTTTGTAGTCTGACTCTCATTTTTCCAGTGCTAACTATTGAAGCTTCTGGTTGTCACTCACACTTAAGTTGATCTCTCAGTGTGCAGTGCAAGTGGAGGCCCTGTCACACCCACAAGCCCTGTGGAAGCCTTGTGGTCTTCATTGCAATCTAAAGATGAAGCTGGCTCCCGGGCAAGGCCACACTCCTTGCCCTCCAGCAGGTCCCTCCCCTCTGCCACTTCCCACCTTCGAAATGTCTTGCTCCGTAGCTGGGAAGACGCTGCTCTGACACAGGCTATGTTCTGTAAAGGTCTGAGGTGCCCCCGGGTCACCAAACATTGAGCTTGGCTGCTGCCTGGCTGCTGCACAGAAGACCGGGTCACTGTGACCTGCAAGCATCTTCCACCTCATTCCATCCTGTCCCTGCGTCAGTTGTAGTTCCCTTCAAAATGATCTATGGAGAGTGGGGACGCCTCTCTTTCAGTGGACAATATCGGTGTCACTCCTAGTTCAAGTAACTCCAGAGCACAGAGTGTGCGCACAATATGGATTATTTGAGATTAGTAAATGTATGTCTGATTGTCACAGTAACTGGAAGTACAAATTTAGTCTTTCATATATGTGTTGATAAAGCTGATAAGTATGTGCAGCATTGTCTCCTCTTGGCACACTACTATTATATCTAACATAATTGAAATAAATTCCAGAGTGGAAGTACAGAATGATTTGTTAAATACTTAATAAATACAGTACACAAAACCAATAATCTTCCTTCTCTGCAAGTTGTTATTTAGTTGAAATTTTCCTCTAAGTATCTTTACTTAAGCATTTTTATTAACTCTGTAATTGTTTATATTTCTAATTTTAATATTCAAAATAAATAATTGAGTTCTCTGTTTTATTCTGTGCTTGTGTCTTCATTTATCAAGTGTCTTGTTAATTGCATTAAGAATGTACCATGGACCCTAAGTTGCTCCATTCCAGACATTGGTTAGGATAGCCTCATAGGCAAGCCTAATCAGGGGTGAGTTACTTCTGAGACTTTAAGGCTAAGAGGTGACTGGAGACCTGTGTTTGCACTTACAACTTTCTGGTTTCCTGGCCCTGAACTTCACCACAACCCACTTCTTCCTCCCAGTTCAATATAATTTTTGTCATCCTTCCACTGGGGCCGCAGTTGAGGCACGAGGGCTGACAAAACTCCAGCAACTTAGAGCATGTAAACACTTTCATGGCGCAGAGAATGGAGAGTCCCATACCCAAATGAGGGAGCTCAAAGACAACTTCCAACAAGTCATGGGGGACTTCTTGGAAGAAGGGGATTTCAAAAGCTTGAGTTACACATGAATGATGAGTTTAGTGGTGAAGAGGGACAGCAGCACGACATGAATTAGAGGAAAACTGAGGCAGACCAGACTTTGTGACAAGGGACTCACTTTTCCTTAGGGAACATGTAACTTTACCAAGCCCATGCCTGTGTGGCTCCACATGGCATGATGGAAGAAGTTACCACATTGGTTTCAACTTTAGGACTAAAGGACTACTAGAAATAATTTGGTTTTTCTAAGACTTTCTATATCAATGTACCACGAAAGTGGCATGTTCTAGAAATGATTTGGGCATTGCAAAACAAGCAGCACTGACACAGGCACAGCTCACTGACTCACCTCATGTTTCTGTCACCCTAGCATGCAGTTAGTTCCTTAAAGAAAATGCATGACTGTGGGGCATTATGGTTCTGGTTTGAATACAAAATAATGGCATGTATTTCTGTTTTGAATGTATGCTGTAGAGTATTCTACTACTAGTTGTGTAAAACTGCTATTTTTTTAAGTTTCAACTACTTTAAAGTAAAGATGAGTAGAATATGAATTTTTTAAGTCTGTTCTTTTGAGTCTCTCAAGTTTCCTCAGTGTCTAATATAATTTCTCTCTTTTCATCTCTAATTTTGCTACTTTTGACTAGAGGTTTATCAGTCTTGTTAATCTTCTCAAAGAACCAACTCTTTATTTCATTAACTTTTGTGTTGATATGTTTCTTTTATTAATTTGAGCCCTGATTTTTTGATACCTCTTCTTAATACTGTTTTGTGTGTGGTGTTTGTTCTTGTTTTCCCAGGGCCTTCAAGTTCATCATTAGACTATTCATTTGAGATCTCTAATTTTTTAATGTAGGCATTTAGTACTGTAAACCTTCCTCTTTGATCTTCCTTCATTGTGTGTCTCATGGGTTTTGAATGTTGTATTTTCATTTTATTCTAGGGATTTTTAAATGTCCTCCTTGATTCCTTCTTGCCCTGATTATCATCCACTAGTGAGTTGCTCAGTTTCCATGAGCTTGTGTACTTTCTGTAGTTTTTGTTGCTTTCGGGATCTTGCTTTATCCCATTTTGGTTAGATCTCATGCAGGATATGATTTTAATTTTCCTATATTTATTGAGACTTTTTGTCCTAATATCTGGTCAGTTTTAGAGAAAGTTCCATGGGCTGCTAAGAAGACTATTCATTCCTTAGTGTCTGGGTGTCATTTAACTTCAGTGTTTCTCTCTTTAGTTTTTGTCCAGATGACCTCACCCAGATACAAAGACAGTGAAGTATCAAGAGTCACCCACTACCACTGTGTTGGAGTTATTCTGTGATTTTTCTTATGGAATTGGTTGCACTTGTGTTTCATGGTTGTCCTGTTTGCTTTCTACTACTGTGATAAACATCGTGGCCAAAAAGCAGCTTGGAGATGAAAAGGGATTGTTTCATCTTACAGTTTACGTCCCTTTGCTAGGGAAAGTCGCCGTAGGAAATCAAGGCAGGCACTGAAGCAGGAATTGTGCTTACTGGCTTATCCTTCATGGCTTGCTCAGCCTGCTATCTACCCAGGAGTGGCCCCTTGCATTGTGAGCTGGGCCCTCCCACATCAAACATTAATCAAGAAAATGCCCCTCACATGTGCACACAGGACAGTTGCTCTGTTGAGATCTCTTCCAAGCTATGTCTAGGTTTGTGTAAAGTTTATGTAAACTAACCAGCATAGCGAGTATCTGTTTAGAACTGTACTGTCCCCTCAGTGGATTGCTCCATGATGAGGATGAAGTGGCCCACCCTGTCCCTTCTGACTAGCTTTGCTCTGAAGTTTATTTTACTGGTGTTAGGGTAGCTGCACTGGCTTGTTTTCTAGTTCCATCTGCTTAGAGTGCTTTTCCATCGGGTGGTGTCTATGAGAACCTTCTTGCAGTAAATGGTACTTAGTGCAGACATCTACACCTCCTAGTCACCTAGAGCATAAGAGCCTGGATTGCTCCACTCTAAATGAGATGTTTATGTCGTATCTTCTTTCCCCCAAGGCTTAGGGATCAAGGAAGAGGGAGGAGAAGGCTTGTAAGGGCCACAGGTAGTGGACAGCTACAGCATCCCATATGTTGGCCTCATTTCTATTAACCAGTCTTTTTAAGTTCTAGGATATGTGTCACTAGAAAGCCTTTTTCTGGTTGGGGAGGTTATAAATGCATGTCAGTAAATGGCTGTGAACAGAGCTCAGCCGTTAGAGTACCTGTTGTCACTTTGGAGGTGATGCCAGTAGGAAGGTTATATGTCTTTTCTTTGCCCCTAGTCCTGGAGGGGAGGGGCTGCCTATATGAGTGTGCACACATGGAGGCCGATCATCACTAATCCCCCTCAATCTGCCTGCTTGATTTTGAGATAGGGTCTTCCTGAGCCCGTGGGTCACCAATTGCTTAGAAGAGTCAGGCAGAAAATTCAGGGTACCTGTCTGACTCCACAGTGCTGAGGTTATAAACATGAGTTACCCTACCAACATTTACATGGAGACTGGGGATCTGAACTCAGGCCCTTGTGCCTGTGCAGCGGGGACTTTTACTCCAGTCCTTTACTTTAACCGTGCTGATTTTGTAATCGGTCACTGTTAACATTGCCACAGCTATTATTACTGTCAGAGGGTAAGAAGATAGAAAATCAAAGAATAATGGAGTCCCAAGGGAAGGCCACAAATTACAGTAATAAGAAACTATCAGCAAAATCAAAGATCACAGATACCAAAAGAGTGAGTCCTGAGAAATGGCTAAGCCTGGAATTCAGAAAAAAATCACAAATAAAGGAACCAGGACATGATTCAGCTAGTAGAATGCTTGCCAGCATGCATGAAGCCCTGGGTTCCACGACCAGCTCCGTATAAACCAGGCATTGTGGTGCATGCCTGCCATCGAGCACACAGGAGGAGGGACCAGAGTGATCAGAGATTTGTGGTTCAATGTTTCTATATAGTAACCTGGAGGCCACTCGGAACCACATAGATGAACCAGAGAAACACGCTGTGTAGATCATGTCCCCTAGCTCCAGGTTGGTGATTGTAAGACATCTGCTGTTTCCTTGAGGAGCAGAGTGCCCTGCCCACACACACACTGACCCTGACCCCACCCACCCACCCACACACCTCCTATCCTGACACACACACACACCAGCCTTGGAAGACAAAGTAAAATCCATCTGTTAGGCTCTCTGCTTGTTCTCTCTTCTGGGTATCTGATCATGGCTCATTGCCCCCACTTCTGTTCATACCGTGATGCTCATGTCTACTGGAGCTCCACAGACATGACATGTGCAGATACCCAGTGGTAATGGGGTGGTTTTCTATACTGCCTCAGAGACCTCCAGGTCCTGCCACCAGGGTTCCCTGCCTTCTCTCCATGCCCTATTTCCAGGCCAGGGACATAAGGCCCCAGCTCTACAGCTAGTGTTGAGTAACCCCTTGGGGAATAATTGTACAAAGTTACTGGTGAAGTCATGTTGGCAGATGTGTCATGCTTTATATAATTTTAGTTAAATACATAGCAAATCTGATCCTTATCCTCCTTCCTTCATTAGTTTCTCAAAGTAATCCTATTTGTTTGTTTGTTTGTTTTAGCCTGTCCTTAATCCTTTGGTGATGGCCTTCATGTCTCTTCCTGACAGCTTTAAACTATTCTTTCTTCAGTCCTTCAGTTTGGATCACTGTGGCCTTCCTACAATTGGATGTAAGAATTTGGCTCTCTCGTTACAACTTCCCTTCACGTCCTCCAGCGGGTTTGCTTTGCTTAGGGCAATATTCCCTGTCTACATTATTAAGCCTGTGGATGTGCTGCCCAGGCTCCATGGTAACACACTGATCCCATGCTGACTGTGCTTTTTGTATCCTGTGTTGATTTCACTTTCTCAAAAAAAAAAAAAAAAAACCTACCTCCATCCCGAATATTCAGGTGTCTTTGTGGTGGATTTACAAATGTATCTTTCTGGCAAGTTACTGACAACTTGGCAAGCAGGTGCCCATGTGTCCTGAGCTGTGCAGGCCTCCATCCAGCACCTCCTGCCACAATCATCTTCCTGAACCCGCCCTCACTCTTCTTCTGTGGTGGGCTAGCCACTTGACGCCATTTGGTTTGCATGCAGTCTCACCCATTCTCTGGTGGCTTCCTGCAGAAGGATTACATTGGAAGTAAACATTGTGAGGCCTTCATATCTGAAGAAACTCTGTATTGGTTCCTTGGATGGATGTCAAATTCTAGGCTGGAAATCATTTGCCCTCAGCATTCCTAAGTCTGTGTCCAGTTGCTCTCCAGTATCTGTGCTCGCTCTCTCTCTCTCTCTCTCTCTCTCTCTCTCTCTCTCTCTCTCTCTCTCTCTCTCTCTCTCTCTCAGATATCTCACTTGCCTAGTTTCTGAAATTCATGATGCTGTTCTGAGTTGATATTCTTTTGTCCCTACCAGGGAGTAGAATGTTGCAAATTCTAGGAAATTTCCTTGAATTGTTTCTATAAATCTTCAACAGCCCTGGATGGTTGGTTAAATCGATTAGTTGTTTTCCTTTATCCTTAGTATTTGGATCCCCTAAATATGTCCTTTAAATTTAAAAG